TCCATTGTGTATATAAACCACAATTTCTTTATCCATTCATCAGTTGATGGACATTTAGGCTCTTTCCATAATTTGGCTATTGTTGAGAGTGCTGCTATGAACATTGGGGTACAAGTGCCCCTATGCATCAGTACTCCTGTATCCCTTGGGTAAATTCCTAGCAGTGCTATTGCTGGGTCATAGGGTAGGTCTATTTTTAATTTTCTGAGGAACCTCCACACTGCTTTCCAGAGCGGCTGCACCAATTTGCATTCCCACCAACAGTGCAAGAGGGTTCCCGTTTCTCCACATCCTCTCCAGCATCTATAGTCTCCTGATTTGTTCATTTTGGCCACTCTGACTGGCGTGAGGTGATACCTGAGTGTGGTTTTGATGTGTATTTCCCTGATAAGGAGCGACGCTGAACATATACCATACTGTTTTGATTGTTGTAGCTTTATAGTCTAGTTTGAAATCAGGTAGCATGATATTTCCAGCTTTCTTCTTCTTTCTCAAGATTGCTTTGGCTATTCCAGGTCTTTTGTAGTTCTATACAAATTTTAGAATTATTTGTTCTAGTTCTGTAAAGCATGCCTTTGGAATCTGATAGGTAGTGCATTGAATCTGTATTACTTTGAGTAGCATGAACATTTAACTATTCTTTTAATCCATGAGCATGGAATATGTTTCCATTTATTTGTGTCTTAGATTTCTTGATTTTAAAAGTCATTTATGTTGATGAGAAAACCAGAGAACTATCAATTGTTTGTTTCCATTGCTGTGTAACCATTGCATTTTATGAATATAGCATAATTTATTCAAGCCTGTTCTTGGATGTAAAGGCCTTTATTTGGTCAGGATTTTCATAATTTAACACAGTATTGTTGTTGTGAACATTCTTATGCTTGTCTCCTTGTACACTTGTGCAAGTTCCTATAGAGTTTACACTGAGAAGTAGAATTGCCATATCACAGGATATGTGCATCTTCAACTTAACTAGACAGTGATAAAGTGTTTTCCAAGGTATTTGTACCAGTTTTTATTAAGGTATTTGTACTCCCAGTATCAATGGAAGAGTTTGTGTTCTTCCACATTTTCTCCAGTACTTTGGTGGTGTCAGAGTTTTTAAGTTTTGCTAATTTATATAAAATAATACTCCATTGATATTTTAATTTTTGTTTCTGAACATTATTAAGCTTGAACATCTTTTACATATATGTATTAGTTGTTGGAATTTTATCTTCTGTTAAATAATGTGTTCATGTCTTTTGTCATTTTCTATTGGATTGTTTTTCTTTTTCTCACTATTTTTAGGAATTCTCTGTATTAGTTACATGTGTTGGAAGCATCTTTTTCCAGTTTCTGTCTTATGTGTTTTCATGTTTAATGTCTTTTGATCAAAAGTTTTTTTTTTATTTTACTGGCCAACCTTTCCTTTATGGTTCTTTATGTTTATGAAATATTTCCCTAAATCAAGATTTTAAAGTTCTTCTCCTATTAGAAAAAAATAACTGTTTTCTTTTCATAAGGATAAGGCTTGAGTTGAGTTTTTCTATGTTGTGAGGGAAGTATTCACTTTTCTCATATTGATACTCACTTGTCCCAGGATCAGTTACTCAAGTTTCATGTTTTCCTACTGATCTCTTTGCCATTTCCTGCCATATTTACATGGGCCTGTTTCTGGACCGTCTTTTCTATTCCATTGATCTCCACCCCCCTCTTCCCAGCCACTCCCAACCCCCCGAGTTGTTTTCTTTAACAAAGTACACTTTGTACTTATGGTACTTATGTAGAGTTGCCGTGAACACTGAATGAGTG